ATGCTGCATCATGTAGTCATGTTAGTTTGATTAAACTGATGACTCAAACCAAGAGGAAGAAAAAACAAAAAATGATGTCAAGCTTTATTGTGTCTATGAAGAAACCTCGAGTGCTCAGTAAAACCGCAAATATCATGAAACTCTCCAGCATGGATTTAGAGCTCACACCTCACTGGTTAAAGAAGCACTGATGTGCCATTCATTCAATAACCATGCACTGACAACAACTATTAGAGACAACTCGGTGAGCAAAGTGATGCAATCATTTCAAAATTTCTATAGATTTCGCAGTATTATCATTATTGTGGTAAATGTGAATAGTCAGTATATAAAGACAACCAGTCAATGTATCAATATTGGGGGTACAGCAAAACACAAAATTTTAAGTGTGATATTAATAAAGTGCACAGTCAGTATCACATGATATCATCAATAATTGTGAGCCTGACAGATTTTAACAAGCTGATAATACTCAGGAGTAGCACAAATGTGTAAATGAAATAACTACACAAAACCAAGATTAGGGAAATCTCATTGTGTTTTGTTCCTTGGAAAAAAAATAAAATATATATATATATATTTTCTATCAGATTTTGATATCAATATTGATATTGGTAATAAAAGTCCTAAAAATTCTTCGTCTCTGACGACTTCTATGCACTTGTAATTTTACTTTTTTGTGCTTATAGAAAAATGTCATTCATATTGACATTGCTAATAAAAACTATAATAAATATCACAAGAATTTGAATGGTTAAAATCTGTTAGAAGTCTATCAGGAAAATCAGTAGATATATCAATATTTGTGGTCACGACAGCATCAGTGAATGGATGATAATTGGGATATTTAAAAACGAGATCTTAATATTGTATTAGCAATGCGCCTATAATATTTGTTAAAAAAAATTGTAATTCATGTCTTTGTTTGCTGTTGTGCGGTTTTGGGTTCTCACCACTTCCATGAACTTGTAATTTGAGTTTAATAGCTTCACTTTTAATAGCTAATAGTTTAATAGCTTACCAAAAAAACAGCACACACTAGATAAAGCTATAGAATAATTTTGCTACCAGCATTGATGCAGGTTTTTTTTCAATGTTTTTTTTTTTTAATTTGATTAGATTTTTTTTACACAGCAATAATAGTACAAATAAAAATCTGATATAATGACAGCCTTAATTCATTTCATCCATTCAATAACAGACTAATCATTCAGGAAGATATTTGCCCAAAAAGCACTTCAGTGTTTAGTTCATTGGAGCTTTGTGGACAGTTTCATAGATTTTTGAAGCAATATCAATCAGTACTTCACTCTAATTAAAATCAGTTTCCAGCCCTTTAAAAAAAAGCTACAGGTTTGTTTCTTTTTTCAATGTAGGTGTTTCATTTTTGTCATTCAGTGTGTGCTGTCACTGGGGAAATCAGCCATTTAGGGATTTTTTTAAATAATAGTGTTCAGCTTATTATCAAATTAAAGAAAAAGAAAGCTCAACCCTTGTCTGAAAAATGTGTGTAAATCTTGTTTGTGTGTGAATATTTTTCTTCAATAAAAGTTTATGTTTATTTTTTTTCGTTGTGGTGCTGTTTTTAGTTTTCTCTGCAAACGTTTTTCATGTACAGTGCCTTGTGTATTCAAGAAATTGAACTACAGGGTGGGCCATACACTGTAATAAAATGGGAATGGTTGGTGATAT